TCCCATGGCCCACCATGCACTGTCCACCTCCCTAGCACTCCTCTACTGGATCACAGACCTCTGCTGGTCTGCCCTGGTCTAGACATTGTGCCTCCTAAGAGCAGAGGCTGCAGCTCTAATGATTAGTCTAAAGGAGATCTTGGTGCATGCAGCTGATGATATCTCTGCCCTGACCTTGGGCTCAGGCCAGAGTTAACAACCTCAGTTTTCTTGTCTTTAAAATAGTGCATTGACAAGTGTCCCCCCCTCCCAAAAAGGCTCAGGTCCCCAGCAAAAGGTTAAATGTTTAGGCCATATCCTAACTCTGATGAAATGAACACTCATTTCTGAAAGAAAAGAAGCCTTCTTAAAATTAGAGCTTCCTTGTTGGGCAGAAAAAGACATCAGCAGGTCTAGAGACAGGAGGCAGCGGCTACATGAAAAGCCAAGAAGATGTGATGTTTTTCCCTTTGTTAACCATTAGCTATGGATAACCCATAAGTAGTTTCAAACTTTAGCCCAAGAGATTGTAACACCTCTGACCGTGTTCATAAGGTCCAAGGCCCAAGCAAAGTCCAGTCCCTCTTCTACCCAGGGAGTAAACAGGAACCTTTCTCCCTCTGAAATTGGTCAAAGCAGCCTGTTTCCCTTATAAATAATGACCTGAGGGGAAGGAGATGATATTCTTTGAAGACCCATTTAGTCATACAAATGTAGCCAGGTCTTAATTTTGCACAACTTCTATCTTGCTGCTTGCCCACCTTCACATTTGAAAGTGTTTCCTATCACTCTGACAGTCTATTACTTTGCAATTAACTCTATCTATACTCTGTAAAAAATTTTAAAAAATAAAATAGTACATTGAGCTGGATGACTGTAAGAATCCTTCTAGGTCCAGAAACCTTGGATTGGCAGCATGGACCTCCTGGAAAAATTCTGACAACCATCGTGGAGTGCTCAGTGCTGGATTCCTTTGAAGGAAATGCCTAAAAGAGCAGCAAGAGCAACTCACTTCCTTGCTGGCCACATAGTGTGAAGTCTGCTAGGTCTTGGATACAGCAAGGCTGAGCCAAGCCAGGTCACTGGGGCAGGGCTGGCAGATTGGGAAACGTTAGGAGGGAGAATCTGAGAACCCACCTCTCCCTTTCACCAGCTCGACTTACTTTGCATGTGGGAGGGAGGACTGTGAGTAACTGGCAATGTCCTTACCTTCTGATCTGAATTCCACTCAGACCACAATCCCTGGGAAAGAGTAATGGTAAAAACAAGCTGGCGCCCAGTCTCAGGGGTTTTGTGGCAGTGGACACTGAAAAATTGGAAACTGAAAGCACAAGGAGTAGGCTATCAGTCCAACTGAGGCCTGGGAAAGAAGGTCAAGGTCTGACCGACATCATAATGTTGGTGCTGAGTTCTAAACGCTGGCTTGAGTTTCTCAAGTTCCTACTGCCAAACTTCAAGGTTAGTTGTCATTCAGGGAGGCAGGGATGATGAGGACACAAGTGAGGGTCAGCGGAATCCAAAAAGTATAAGCATAGAACAAGATCTGGGTTCAAGAGAGTCCCCCTCACCCTTCCCACTTCCCCCTTGCCCTATTGTCTGTGCTTCATTTGTCAAGGGTCAGTACTGTCTGTGCTTCATTTGTCAAGGGTCAGCACTATGGTTTGTATGCACTTTTCCACAAAAACACAGAGCTCATGCAAGGGGAATGAGCGGAAGTTGCTGCAAGCTTTGGGTCTGAAACTTTTCCAACATTTTGGGGGTCTTCTGGGGTTCTTAGGCTTCAAGGGCCAGATACAGGGGCCATAGTAATCCACCCTGCCCTGACATGTATCAGTCTTGTTTCTGGATACATGCTGAATTTATATAATGCTATGTGGGACTTTTATGAAATATATATAATTATCAGGGAAGCTAATCATTTCGGAGTGCAGGGACCTACTGTCTCTTTTTGTGCACAGTCAGGGTATTTATCACCAACACCATCTCTGGGGGCCTCTGTTCCAGGAGGAGCTTTCAGTGTGAAAGGGGGTGAAGATCTGAGAGAGGGCTCAGCCTGGACCATGTTGGATGTCTGGGTAGAGCAGAGCTGCCATTCCAACCCCAGCGAGCAACTCGGGACTATTTGACTTGCATGAAATGTGACTTTGCAGAGAAATTCAAACCCCAGCCTTGGGGACAGCTGGCTCCCAGCCTTCCCACACAGTGATGACTCAGGCAGGCCAACCCCACTGCAGGCAGCTTCTCTGTGGCTTGCTAAAAGAATGCTGTGTTCCTAGTCTGATTTCTTTGGGGTCTAACTGAAGCCCCCTTCAGCATGCACCAGTGATTTTAATTCAGGTTTCCTTGGGGTGTCTTGGGCATACTCAGTTTATCCTGGTGACAAGAGGTGGCTGTTTCAGCATAAAAAAAATTACCGCAGTGACTAGGCTGGGCCGACACATGGGAGAACTGTTCTACTTTCCACAAAAGGAACCTCTGAGGCATCTTAATGCTTTTAGAGTTTTAATTATAAAATTAAGCAAATTTATGGGAGAAAGATAAACATTACGTTCAGTTTATGGCTGATTTGGGTTGCAAGGAATAACCCCTACCAAACCATCAGGAGCACAGGAGGAGTGTGGGAATGAGAATTACAGTGAGCCTTATGGATGCAAAATGGGGCTTTCCCAGGGACCCAAAACTGATGGCTCAGCCTCCAGAGACTGGAATTGGAGAGAGTTTTCAGTTGAAGAGAGATCTGTGTGGCTAAGAGGCAGCTGAGCTTGGGCCTCCTCTACCATGTTGTTGTTGTTATTATTTTGAGACCTGGTCTTGCTATGCAGTTAGGCTGCCCTTGAACTCACTAGTAGCCCAGGCTGCCCTTGAATTCATGGTGATCCTCTTATCTCAGCCTCCAGAGTGCTGGGATTATGTGCATGTGCCACCACGCCTGTCTCTTCCATGCTATTTTTTGTTACCAAGTTTGGGGATGCTGGAGTCTCCTTCTAAAGGGAGTTTCTAGGTTCTTTCTGTCCTGCACAAAGAATTGGTCAAGATAAGTGCAAAAGGTAATAAGGTTACATTTATTAAAGGTAGGAAAAGAAACAAGCTCTGTAGTTTAAGTTTGGGCCTAGGAAAATAAGTAGAAGTGTGGGCTTCTGTGAGAGAACACAGCAGTGGAGAATTCAATGTCAACTGTCCTTTTGGATCTCCCACTCCTGGGGCTGATACCAGGTCTAGACCATCATTTAGACTGGGGTTTTGTAATGAGCAGGTCACACATACTTCCCCAGCCACTCAGCCATGCCCTATTCTCCTGCCTCATAATGGCCCAGGGTTGTGGTTTGAACTGTATTCCCCTATAAGATATATTGCAATCCTAACTGAGGTACCTGTACCTAACTGAGGTACCTGAGAACTTATATGGAAATAGGGTCCTTGCAGATATGTTGAATTTAAAATGAGGTCATACTGGATGTGAGTGGGCTCTAAATTCAATCAGTGGTATCCTTACAAGAAAAGACACAGAAGCACATGGGACACTGTTAAGGTTTATAGCTAGATGTCCCCCCAAACCTCAGGAGCTCATAGGTGGGGCTTTTGGTAAGTGACTGGGTCAAGGATGTGTGTTTATAGATAACTGTGATGTTGGGAGGTACAGCCTGGTGGGAGGAGGTGGGCCACTAGGGTGTGGCTTGACAGTGTCTAATTCCCTCCCTCATCCTTGCTCACTCACTGCTTCCTGTTTGCCATACCATGAGCTCTCTCTCCTTTGTGATGCCCTTCTAACATGCCACCCTGCCTTGGAGCCAGTGGACTCTGAACTGAAACCAAAGGCTGTAAGCCAAAATTAACCCCTCTTTTAATTTTCACATGTTGAGTATTGTGTCTTGGTGATGAGGAAAGTAATTAAGAAAAACCCCCAGAGGAAAGATGGCTGTGTGAAAAAGAAGGGCAGAAATAGGAATGAGGCAGTCACAAGCCAAAGAATGCCAAGGGCTACCAGCAACCATCAGAAGCCAGGAAGCAAGGAAGGATTCTTCCTTAGAGCCTTTGGAAGCCGCATAACTCGTTGACACCTTGCTTTTAGGTTTCCATCTTCTAGAACTAGGAGGCAATAAGTTTGTGTTGTTTTAAGTCACTTAGAGAGTTGCTATTTGTTATGGAAGTACCAGAAAATGAACGTACCCAGATTCACACTGTGGCCCCAGTAGAAATTGGCATCCTCTTTCTGGTTTCCTGTTCAAGTTCTTTACACAGAAGGAACCTGTCTAGGTCATTTTCTGTAGCTGGATAGACCAGCTGCCCTTGATGGTTCAGGGGCTGTCTTGGGTCATCCAGCTATGATGGGATGTGTTGAGGTCACCTGGAATGGAGAGGGGCACCTAAAATGTAAGAGGCAGGAAGAGATCAAGTCTCCTAATCATGTACAACTTGTCCAGGTGCCTTGGCCAGGAACTACAGGGAGGTTCTATGGAGCTATAATCCCCCTATACAGTTCTTGTTTTATATTTTTCCCTTTCCCCTTCCATGCAGCAACCTAGCTCCTAGTTCCCACTTTTCCCTGTTAATGGCTGGAGAGGAAAATATATACATATATCAAACTTCTGTAGAAAGTATAGGGCCTTGAGTCCTGGAGTAAGATTCAAGTATCCTGAGTTAGATGCTAGATTTTGGTACTTACCAGTTATGATTTGAATGTTAAATATCCCCCCAAGGCCCATATGCTAAAGGCTTGACCACCAGCCTGTGCTGCTATTGGGAGGTAGGTGGTGGAAACTTGAGGAAGTGAAGTCTAGAAGTTAAGTCATTGAGGGTGCGCCTTGGAAAATGATACAGGGACCCCAGCCTCTTCCTTTGTGCTTCCCAGATGCTACGAAGAGAACAGTCTTCCTCCACCACTCACTCCAGCTACCATGATGTTCTGTGCTGTCATGGGCCTAAAGCTTGTGTCACAGGGCCAAGTGACCATGTACTGAAACAAAATAAACCCTGAAACCCTGAACTAAAATAAACCATTCTTCCTTTTAAGTTTATTTTCCCAGGTGTTTTGTCACAGAGATGGAAAGCTCACAGCACTTCAGCTTTGTGACTGTGACACCTGGCAGACCATGTTACTTCCCTGACCTTCGGTGTCCCTAGCTGTGAAATGGCATCACTGACCTGCTTAGGATGAAATCAAATGAGAAAATGGACATGAACATTCTTTGCTCTTGTTAAAGCTCTGAGTGATTCCACATGGAATGCTGCAGGTGAGAACAGCCTCCAGCTGGGGGTGGGGAGGGTGGTGGCACTCCATGCAGAAGCTGGAATGTGGAGTCTAAGCGACAGACGCAGGGGTGGGGTGTCTACTGGCTGCCTGCTTTTCCTTTGTCTTTTTCAATAATGCTAATTTGGTTACTCTTAGTAACAGCTATTCCCCATTACTATTACTCATTCCAGGCTCTGAATCATTTTGATGGATACAACTTGACATCGACCAATTTGCCTAATTCATCACCTTTGCATGCTTTAATACTAAAGACAAGGTAGGAAGGTTTTCCAACTGGCTTTGTGATTTCTTTTCTCCTCTCCTCTAGCATCAATGGGGGATGCAGAAAAGGCTCCTTTGAAGAGTTGCCAGGTGGGGAAATCAGCAGGCTAGGAATTCTGTAGTTAAAACGCATTGACTGTGTGGCCTCTACCAAGTTAGGATGAGCACGGCTTTGCCTCGTTCTTGTCTCTGCAGTCCCCAAGGATGGTCACCGGGCAGTCATCATTGACTGGGACTAAGCACAGCCCCGTTGGGATTGACAGTGCCCTCTAGCTTCCTCTCCTTGGGTCAGCTTATTCATGATCTAAAGTTTAGAGTTCTCATCTCCAGGCTCAGCCGTGATTCTCCTGCCTCTGATTTCTGAAGGTCCTGGGTCTACTCATCCTTTCACGGCCAGCCCAGCCTCTTTTCTCCATGGAGGAGAAATCGCCTGCTCTGAATTCCCTCATCACTTCTCCTGCTCCTTCATTCTGACCTTAATCCTTTCCCATTACAAGACTGAAATGCCCATTAGAGTAAGCCAAAACATACAGAAGTGCATAAGAGAAAAATGACTACTTTCCACACTTGCCCTCTTCAGTAGCTCCCTCTCCTCTGCATCCCCTTGAGCAACTAATGTTTTTTTGTTTACATCTTCCAATGCCTCTCTCGATGCTCACACCAGTACACCATTCGTGTACTCACACACATTAAGGAAGCCTCTTCCAACTGTAAATGAAATCATATGAATACAAATACAATTTTCTGTTTTTAAACTTAGTAATACAGATGGATATTCTTTCATGACAATTCACATAGATCTCATTCATTTTGATGAAATTTTATAATGTTCCACATTTATTCTACCTTTTCCTCATTGTTTCCCATTCTGCAATCTTTGTACCCATTTCTTGTATACTTGTGCTTTCATTTCTGTAGGAAAAAGCTACAAATATGTGAAGTCTAGGTCAAAGGATATTGTGTGCTTATAGTTGCTAGCAGATTACTTTCCGCTTGGTTGTAGTAATATAGTTCACTTGTGAAATTCGGCCTGATTTCTCACAATCACACCTGCTTCTAGATATTAATTCAAGTATTTTGCATTTTTTACAATCTGCTGGGCAACAGATGACATTTTATTGCTTTAGTTTCCATTTCTTTAAATATCAGAGAGTTTGAAAATCTTTTTGTATATATGTGTCCATTTGTATCTCTTTTTCTGTGAATTCCTTGTTCAAATCCTTTGCCCATTTTGATAAATTGTATTCACTAACATTTAGCATTGGATAGGACAGGTGTTTTGTCCTTGTCCAATAGTCTCTGTAATAACAGCTAACCTTTGCACAGTACGGAGAGCACTTTCCACATATATTCACTCACTAAGTCCACATTATGATTCTGTGAGGAACTTAGAATCCTTGGTTTGAGGAAACTGAAACTCTGTGACTTACCCAATCCATGTTGGCTGTTGTGGCAGAGCTGGGGCTCTAACTTCCTTCCAACTTTACTATTTATGTGGTGCCTCTGCACAGTTTATATCAGGGAATAGTTGCAGACTGGGTAGAAGAAGCTAGGATGAATGGATGAATCAGAGGATGAGAAGACTGATGGGCAGATAAAAAGTGGAGAGTTGGGTCAGCTTCCTAATATAACCCATCTGTATGTTTCCTGGATTTCTGATCAAAATACTCTTTTCATGTTTTGTTTTAATTTTTCTTCTTTCTCTTGATGTTATCATGGTGCTGAGGATCAAACCCACAGCCTTGCTCATTCTAGGCAAGCACTCTATCACTGACCTACACTCCAGCACATCTTCTTATTTTTCGTGGCCAAGCACCGTCTTACAAAAGCATCTGACCTTGCTACATTCTTTAACTTCTGACATAGTAAGGAATTCTGTCCACTGCGTGGATAATAACCTCTCACCTTAGACAGATAACATTTAAAGATTGGAAGGGCATAAAGCAGCACTCTCAGCCATAGATGATTTTGTAGCCCCTTCCCTACCAGGAAGGACATTCAGAAATAACTGGAGACGCTTTTGGTGTCACACAGAAGCCTATTGGCATCTAGAGCACGGAGGTTAGAAATGTTGCTAAGCATCCCACAATCCACCATCTGCCCTTCACAAAGAATTACCTGACCCACAATGTCAATAGTACACTGTAATGAAGCCCTGGCTTCACGCCACAGGAAACCCATTAGATGCAGCATCATGGAAAGCAAGGAGATAGGGTTTATAAACTCAAGGAACTGGGCTTTCAGTATCAAGGGGCCGGTATGCCAGCTGTCTGCTCTTAGTTCTTGCACAAGTGATCCGTCCTTTCTAAGCCTCGGTTTTCTGAAAGGTAAAATAAGGATAATCTTATCTTCCTCGAGAAGTTAGAGGGAAGATGAAGCCAAAGTATATATGAGATAAGGTGCCAGCTAAATGTGGGAGATGCTAATTGTCATAGGGAATCACTTGGGAAAGGTCTCTTATTTATCTGGGTATGAGTGTAAAGAGATTGTGCCTATACAGTTGAGTGTGTGTAGGATTTGGGGATGTGGAAATGCAGGTGTTGTAGTTTGGAGTCCAGAAGACTAGCTGAATGCTAATCTCGCCCTGTCCTTGTTTGCTCCTTTGGAAACTTTGTGGGTGGACAGCTAATCAATGGGGGGAAATGATGACTCTTGCATTGTGCACATACTAACTGGCAGCCCCAGAACAGACCGGGGCTGGAGAACACGCTTTTACTCTTGAAGCAAGGCTGGGTAAGGAACTGTGAAGAAATTTCCGGTCCTGGATCTAGTTGGCTGGGGAACAAGATCTGAGCTTTTGGGGGGTGTCAAATAGGCAGCAAAGGAGAAAAGAAGAAGTGAGGCATGGTGTCAAAATTAGAGAAAACTGGGGACAACTAGGAAAATCTAAAAGGGGAAAGGAAAGTGGGAGGAGGTCCTGAGGATTTTGGAACCTGAGAACAGATGCCCAGAGAGGCATTTTTTACTCTGAGATGGGCAAAGTAGTTTTCTAAAAAACCCAACCTCATCATCCCAACTCTATCCTCATTTTCCCCTCTGACTACATTTTCTGACTCAAACTGCCACCTCTACTGTGTTCTAACTCAGGCTCTGCCCATCCTTCCCACACTCACCTGGACCCCTCAGTCTTTCCTTCACCTCACTCGTCCGCTCAGAATCCCAGCCACCTTCCGTCCATCATGTTGCCTTTGGAAGAGAAAGAAAAAGAGGAAGGAAGAGGGATGGTTCTTTTGAACTGCAGGGGATCAGATTCCCCTGACTGCTTCTCGCATACTCTACTCCTAAGAACCAGAACGGTAACCCTTTCTCTAATATCTGGCCATGAAACCAGCCCATGCACAAAGACATGGGCCCTGTTTTGACCCATAAGTAGTGGTTCACAAGCATCTATTACAGTGTGGAAGTCACAGCTTGGAGGTGATGCACATTCTGTCCAGGGTTCAGGCCCAGAGTCCCAAGTTCAGCATCTCAGCATGAGCAGCCCAGAACTGCTGGCCATCTTGTCTTTCTGGAGTTCTCGGGCCAGGGTTGCCCTGTCTCAGTAAGAAGCTCTTGTGAGGGTGGAGGGGAGGGACAGATAAAGTCAAGGATGTCTAGAGAGTTTGTAAGGTGGTTCAGACCACAGTTCCTGGAAGGAAGAATCCAGAGAAATTCCTTTATCAGCGTTTCTAGCCTAGCAGTGGCAGCAAGTGGGGTGGAGGGGACACCACCACTTGTCTCCCCATGTGGGGACCAGACCTTCAGGGGAGCTCAGGCTGCCTCCGGCCTGGCGGGGTGGGGTGGGGACTGTGGGGGCTGGCATGGCATCTGTGGGCTGCACCGAGGCCTGTCAGGGAGGAATGATTAATGAACAGCCGCACCAGCTGAGGCTAACCTTTGGAGAGCCGAGCAGGGCATCTGCGGAACTGTCAGGCTCTGACAAGGACAGAGCTGAACAACCAATTATGCCGCCATCACTAAGGTGGGCTGTCACTTTAATCCTAGCCATTCACTTAGGCAAGGACAGGGAAATTTCTCCTCTGCAGAGGCGTGTGCCTTGGCCACTTTAACCATTTCAGGACAGGGCAGGAACCCCTGCTGGGAGCTGACAAGTTTCCCCACTTCTGGTCTTTCCCTGGTTTCTAGTCCCTCTTTCATACTGACTATGGGAACAGAAGTCCAAACATATGCTTCCCATTTCTCTCCGTTCCTTCCTGTATCTCGCAGGTGAGCCTGAATCCCTTAACCGGGCACTCAAAGCTTTTCATCCCATTTAATCACCCAATCTTTAATCCAGCATTTGGTGTGTAGTAGGTATTCTGCCACTACAAATTAGAGTAATTAAATATAAGAGCTCACCCTTAGAATCTTGTGTTCTCCAAGTAGTGGCAGATAAGGTAAGTCTCAGAGTACAACATCTCTTATAGAAACAGTGAGGGAAAGCCATGGGAAGCCAGAGGAGAAACACTGAAACCACCATGAGGGAGCAAGGCGCAGGGATCGTCTTGTGCTTTGTCTAAAATGCTGAGCACCCATTAGACCACCCATAAGGGAGGTGGGAAAGGGGGAAGCCACGTAAAGGTGAAAAAAATCGGGAATCCTAGCAATGGCAAGTGATTCCATGTGTCTCTGGAATTCCACGTACATGAGAAGGGCCGATAAGTCTGAAAGAGTGGGGACCAGATGGTGAAGGGTTCTAAATGTCAGATAAAGTGATTTGGATGGTATCCTACTTCTAAGAAAGGAATAGATTTAGGACCTGCATTTCCACCTACTTTTTCGACATTGTCTGTACTTCTACATTGCCACATACTCTGGATTCAGCCACCTTGGATATTTTATTATTTCTTGATCTTCCCAAATTTTCACACTTCCATGTTTTTTCTCTTGCTATTTTCTCAATATGGAATTCCCTTCCCCACTGTTGCAAACCTGGGGATTATGTTTGGCTGCTAATAACCTAGGGCCAAAAATAAGAGTAGCCTAAGCAAGAGGGAGATTTATTTTACTGTCATG